TGCTTCATGGACCACTCTGAGAAACACTATGATAGAACTTCCTCTCTAAAGAGATAAAGAAAAATCAATGACACCAGTGCATAAAGCCCAAGGCTGAGAGTCAGAGGGCCTCTACCATATTCTCTGCTCTGCTTCAAATCTTCTACATGAGTCTTTGTTAATAGGTTAACTCCTTTAAACACCATTTCCCAAACAGAAAGCCACTTTTATAATCCTTGCTCAACATGGTAAAGATAAGTTAAATGATGACTGACGACACTTTGGAAGACTTTCCAGGAAATGCTTGGTTTGCGGAGAAGATAATGGTTTTAAAAAAAAACACCACCCTTTCCTTGAATCACATTCTCAGTGATCTGTCTCCAATGGCAATTTTCATTCAGCTTGAAGCATGTAGCATTAGGACCTTAGGTGGAGCAAAACATTAGTGCCTGTCTGGATGTGTTGAATTCTATCTGCTTAACTAAACCAAAACAAAAAAAGTCCAGAGTGGTAGTTCTTACTTGGGTTGGAGAAAGGGAACACAGCACACACATCAGAGTCACTGGGGAGATTTTTAAAAACATGTAGCCTTCCACCTGTTGCTATGTATATTAGTATGAGAAAGAGGGAGAGAGACCACTTTTTTAAGCACTCCAGGTGATTCTGATACATTCCCTGCTCTAGAAAGATTCTTGGCCTCCCTCAAGTAACCTGATCCAAGATCTTACACTTTTTCCTGCCAGGAGTTCTTTATATTTACTTCTCACCTATTTCTTCTTCGGTTAGCCCTCACTGAAGGTAGAGGATAACTCACAAGCATGTTGCATGTGTATACACAGGGGAATGTAAATAATGACCTTGTTCTCAGGGATCAGGGGCCAGCTGGCTGGAAACCTCAGCATCCCCGGGGCTGAAATAATCTCCTGACCAGATGTTTCCTTCCCCGGTTAGAGGAGGGCATGAAGGTCCCAGTGGAAGGCTCTCTGGACCCTACACTTGTCCAGCTGGATCGGCTGCAGGTGGAGCAAATAGGACCCAAGGGCCCCATCAGGTCACCTTGCTGAATCTGACTCAGGCCAGCAGTTCTTTATTTCTTCCTGTCTCTCCCACTTCCCACCGCTCATCTCTGTGGACAGCCGCCAAACTGGGGAACAAAAGTCAGGCAGAGGGGAGGGAGTAGTTCTTAATGGATACTCCATCTCTTCAGTGGTTTGGGGTCTGGCAGAGATAAACCAAACCTGAAACAAATGGGTTCCTCCCCCTGATATATTTTGGTTAATGCACTAGCTCTGAGAAGCAGTCTGGCCTGGAGCAATGAAATCAATTTCCCTCGGTTGAACAACAGGCTTCAACTTAACCCCCACAGCTCTTTCTCATATGTCTTTTATCCGTGCAGCTCAAAATGCTCTTCAGGTTTGGCTTCCTGCCACTAACAGAGTCCATCTCTGAGGAGTGAGGCACAAGATCTCTGAAGAACCTTGGATAATGGTTGTATGCCAAGGGGTGCCTAGAAAATATGATACATTCAAGCAGGTTTTACCATTCCTTCACATCTGACATAATCTTGACAGGCTCCAGTTTCTAAAAAGTAAATGAAAATGACTCTTAGTTGGCTGGTATTACAGATGGGGAAGTTGTGGAAATTCAGCCATCTGTCCAGTATTATTCCCTTGCCCAGGGATAAACCTTGTAGCACACCTTGGGTCTTAACTCTTTCCATGACTACTGTCAAATGGCATTTTATTCTTGAGTTTTAAAGACCCTCATCTAAGCATAAACACTGTGACTATGTTCCTATGAGCAATAGCCAATGGGGAATATAAAATGGCAGAATCATATGAGATGAAAATGATACTGATGTTTCTGCTGCCTCTGCATGACATCTGCCACTCAGTTAAAGTTCTTCCCCACTCAGTTCATGGGTGTCTAAGTCTCCATTGCATGCATGTGCATGCTAAGTCCCTTCAGTCATGTCTGACTCTTTGTGACCCTATGGACTATGGCCTTCCAGGCTCCTCTGTCCATGGAATTCTGCAGGCAAGAATACTGGAGTAGCTTGCCATTTCCTTCTCTAGGGTATCATCCCAACCTACAGACTGAACCTGCATCTCTTGTGTCTCCTACATTGGCAGTCAGCTTCTTTACCACCAGCACCACCTAGAAAGCCCAAGTCTCCATTACCTAGTCACATCTTCCTTCAACAATTTCCTTTGAGTTTCTGGACCTCTAAGGTGAGATCAACCAAAATGTATTATATGGAGACCCACAGAGGTTTTGTGAAAGTCTCACTCAAGCCCAAGGTAGGAGGCAAGGTGGCTGTAGGAGCCAATGTTAATTCTTAGAGTCAGATGTAGACTGTTGCTACTGTCTTTCTTATTCCTACCAGTTAGCCCCTCCTCACTCTCTGCTGGAAACTCTTAGAAAAGCAAATGAAGCTAAGTTGTCACTCTCAAGTCAGAAGAGAAGAGAATCCAGGGTGCTAATACCCTTGAATGAAAGCCTGGAAAAAAGGAAAGGATGTGAATGAAGCCAGCTCTCATGTGACCAACTTATCCCAAAATATACCAGACATTGCCTTAGCCATATGTTCATTCTTTCTACCATTACTGAATACCTGCTATATGCCAGGTGCTGAGCTGGGCCCTGGGCTATAAATATGAGTCGTAAGAAGCACTCCTTTCTCTGCCAGCTAAGTATCACTTCCTGAATTAATGAGCCCATAGAAGTACAAGCTAGTCATAGTAAGCCCAAGAAAGCAGGTGAAAGGTGAGCCTACTTAAGATTCATTTGTAATATCTGTGAAGCCCACAAAGGGGGGCTAAAATCATTGGTTTAGACCAGCCTTAGTAACCTGTTAGCTCTGTACCAGGGTTTTCAAGGGGAAGAGAGAAATTAATGTAATGACTTTCCAATGTGGCCAGAAAATCATTAGTAATGGGAAAGTTCACACATAAGGGAGATTAGTATGTTAATTCAAATTTAAAATTTTTACAATGAGTCTAAGGAAAGAGGGAAACATCTTAACATCACCTTAACTGGCACAAAAAGAGAATCCGGTACTTTTCATAAGAAGGCAAGGAAATCATATCTTAGCTTAGGATTTCTCAATCTTGACACTATTGACATTTGGGACCAGATATTTCTTTGTTTTGGGGAGTAGGCAACTGTTTTATTCTTATGCGTTGTGGTATATTTAACAGCATCCCTCATCTTTATCCACTGATTGTCAGTAGCACCCTCCCCAATTTGTGATAACCAAAAATGTCTCAAAGACATTACCAAATGTCCTCTGGTGGGGGGGTGAGGGGTGTAAAAAATCAGTCCCTGATGAGAAGCACTGTCTTAGGTCATCAGTACCATTGCACCCCAAGGCTACTTGAATGCAGTCATCGGAGAGAAGAAGAAAATGAGGATCTGGGCTATCTTGCCAATGAACCAATTCAAGGAAAGAAGGGAAGTGAACATGAGAGAGGTCAGTCATTTGCTTACAGCCACAGGGCAACTTAGCAAAAGAGCCAGAAGTGGGATCAAAGTTTCCTGGCCCCAGTCACCCACACTGTGCTGCTAATGCAGATGACAGTGATAATGAATAGGAATTCTAAAACTTTTCAGGAACAACAACAAACTTCAGCCGTTGATTCTACCAGCACTTTTTTCCATTTCCCCATCCAGGTGTAAAAAATAGCTCATACATTCACACATATATTTGCCTGTGTGTCTAAACTTGCCTTTTTCCTCTCAGTTCAAATGAAACCACTCCCATTGCTTTCCTACTGTCTGCCATTTTTGCATTTTGTCCTTTCCTAGCCCATCCATACACTGCCAGCATCCCAGGTCTCCTGCACTAAATTTAGAGGCAGACTGAATGAGAGAAAAGATAAGTAGAGTGAGTCGGGGCCAGAGGAAACCTGAATAGACTGTTGATGGCTACCAGTCAGGGCTAGCCTTAGATGTTGCCAGATAAGTGGTCAGCTGCAGTCTGCCTGGTAGCTAGCATTTCACTATTAGAGATGTATTTTTTTGGTGAGGACTGCATATTAAACTCATTTAGTAATTAGAACTTTTGTGTATGTGTTAATCAGATCACGGTCCTCAGATAACTACCAGAGATCAGGGATCTTAGAGGTCAAGTTTATTTGGGAACTGTAATACTGGAGTATCGGAGAAGGCAATGGCACCCCACTCCAGTACTCTTGCCTGGAAAATCCCATGGATGGAGGAGCCTGGTAGGCTGCAGTCCATGGTGTCGCTAAGAGTCAGACACGACTGAGCGAATTCACTTTCACTTTTCACTTTCATGCGCTGGAGAAGGAAATGGCAACCCACTCCAGTGTTCTTGCCTGGAGAATCCCAGGGACAGGGGAGCCTGGTGGGCTGCTGTCTATGGGGTTGCACAGAGTCGGACACGACTGAAGTGACTTAGCAGCAGTAGCGATACTGGAGTATAGACTTGTATACCATACTAGTAGTATACTAGAGTTGCTTCCTCTGCAAAGCAGACCTGGATAATATGTTAAATGGGCACTCTGCAGGAAAAAGAATGTGATGAAAATCAGGGCCAAAAAAACAGATATCAACTCTGTCTACTAGCCAATCTTGCTGTGAATAAAACCCTGATGTAGATTGCACTTTGGGGAGTCCCAGACCAGGTATCTCAAAGGATCCCCCATTCAGAGCCTTGTTGCTGTTGTCCAGTTGCCAAGTCATGTCCAACTCTTTGTGACCCCATGGACTGTAGCCCCCCCAGGCTCTTCTGCCCATGGGATTCCCCAGGCAAGAATACTGGAGTGGGCTGCCATTTCCTTCCCCATGGGATCTTCCCGACTAAGGGATCGAACCTGTCTCTCCTGCATTGGCAGGCAGATTCTTTACCATCTGAGTCACCAGGGAAGCCCATTCACAGCCTTAGAGTTGGACAAAGAGGAGAAGCTGAGAGTGGATTTCCCTGTAAGGCAATATGCCCACTATGCCCACTCCTGCAAAGCTCCCCAACCTCCCCAATCTCAGCCACACAGTCTTACCTCCCACGAACTGTGCAGCTCCCATGCAACGTCCCATCATTCTGGAGATGAGTTCTTCCATGCAGCAGCCCAGGACAGCAGCCAGTGCCACCAGGAGCAGCAGAGCACAGCCAGCACCTGTCACCACTGTGCACATCTGCCAGGCCAGGCTGGGGATGGCACTGAAGCTGGCATAGCGCCCACACTCTTCAACCATGATCAGACTCTGCCCCTCTCCCCTCACAGGGTAATTGCACCTCCGGAATGTGCTGAATGACACTGGCTTCCCCAGCTGAGATCCAAAGAGCCAATAAGGCAGGAAGTAACTGGTAGAACTGGCCACGGCGGTAACAAGGGACAGAAAGGCCCAGAGGGTCCCCACCAGGGTCAGGCTGCTCCTCATGGTCCCAGGTTTCTTGGCGGGAATGGGGAGATGAGTCGGTTCACAGCACCAAATGCAGAAAGTTGTCATGTAGGCTCCACCAGCCTAGTTTTCATCTGCCTGGCCAGCCCCAGGGCTCAGTCATGTGCTTCTTGGCCCTTACTTCTGGATAAGGTTATTGTCTCGAGGACCATTTGGGTCCCTATGGGATTCTGCTCTCCACCACTTTTCCCATCTTCCCTTCCTTCCACCTGGTTCAGACTTCTATGGTCTCTAGGCTGCAATGGAAGAACCACAGAAGTGAATTAGTGACTGTTCCATCTACTCCAGTGCAGCCTGCCTGAGTGTGTGCATGCTAAGTCACTTCAGTTGTGACCAACTCTTTGTGACACTATGGATTATAGCCCACCAGGCTCCTCTGTTCATGGGATTCTCCAAGCAAGAATACTGGAGTGGGTTGCCATGCCCTTCTCCAGGGGATCTTCCCAATCCAGGGATTGAACCCACATCTTTTACATCTCCTGCATTGCCAAGCAGATTCTTTACCACTAGCACCACCTGGGAAGCCCAATGCAACCCAAACAGACAACTTTTAGTTCTTGACATCTAGCATGGAACAACGGGTAGGAGGGAGGCCTGAATCAAACCTAGGCTCTCCAGAGAGCCCCCAATTTCCAACGGAAAAACCTGTTTGCCTGAGGCCTAGAAGGAGGTACTGCCTCAAGAGGGCCAGGAACCAAGGTGATTTCAGAGAGTGAAGGAAGAAGGAAGATCACTCACAGGGCCTGCCCACACTCCAAGGGAGAAGAGGGAAGGAGCGCTCACAGTGGAGTGCCTATTTGACCTTAGTAGGATATCCAATAGAGCATTAACTTGGGCTTTCCCAGTATTGCATCAGTTAGGTTTAAATGGGTAAATAAAATAAGGGGCACCTAGTCTCATTCCCTATGTTCATCACTGAGCAAGCTCTGTTCAGTCACTTTTCCCCAAGAACAAAATGGGAGGCACCTTCCCAAGCAGTGAGGGTTGTTTAACACTAAACTGTTTACTAAGAAAAACTGCCCAGTCCTTTGCTGAATATAATCATGAAAACTTCTCCTCTCTCTGAAACAGATCCGGTTCCCCCTGCCTGGCTGCAGGAACATAGATCTCGAGCTGTAAGGGCCTTTCAAGATGCCTTTTGGAACAAGTCGTCTCAGATTCAAGATGCTGAGTGCCTTTTTAGATCTAATCTCCTCAGCCCAGCTCACAAATGGCTTTCACAGACCCCACTGTCAAAAATCAACTGCTTCCCTCCCAACTACATTAATCTGCCATTGCATTCTGGCCTGTTTCTCAATGAAGGCAGCCAGAGACCACACTGCAGCCTGCTGACAGCCCTGTGAACATCTCCAGCAAACAGATGGTGGAATCTGTTTCAGAAACTCCATGATTCATCACCACTGCTTAAAGTTACAGGTGGTGGGAAAGGGGAGAGGGGGTAGGGGACCAAAGGCAGGGGAGTTATAGGAACTGTCCATGGGGTCACCACCTTGCCAGTTGAGACATGGCCAGCAACAAGTAGCAGTTGTACTCAGGGTCTCAAGGACCTTGCCCAGCCATGAGCCCTGTCACAACTATCATCAAACAATGTCTGGCATGAAGCAGGCACTGCCATCCATGTATGTTTAATGAAACCCATTCTAGAGAAGCATCCAATTTCTAGCCTGGCAGAAATCTTGATGAATCACCTAATTCAAACTTTTTTTTTACATATGTGGAGGTGTGGCCCTGTAAGTGGGTAGTGATTTCCCCCAAATCACAGAGAAGTTAGCAAGCAGCCAGACTGGAATAAGAAACCCAATCTACAGATGCCTAGGCCAGTACTTTTGTACTCCACAGTGTGAACCACCCTCCTCCTCTATCACTTTACAGATGGGAATACAGAGAGGAAATGATTTCCTCAAGGGTAAAGAGCTAGTGAAGTACCCTGGCTGGATCAGAGTCCAGTTATCCAATTCTTAGTATAATGCTCTTTTCTTGCTCCACCACAATTCCCCTCCCAATACAGATATATTGTGTGCTGTGTGTTTTGCGCAGGAAGGGAGCAGAGACTATAAATTGCAGGTGTTTACTTTGGAATGTTAGGGCTTGGGAAGAAAGTGCCCTGAGCTGGGCCCCAGGGAATGAGGCTTTGTGCCTGAGAGTTGGGGGAATGAAAGAAAGATGTGACTCAGGGTTGAAAGCCAACAGGAGAAGTGAAACTAGTCTTGAGTAATTGCTGTTAGAAAGCAGGTATGCTTGGCCGCAATGAGGTAATGCCTCTGCTTGCTATATTAAAGCATGTAAGATTATGGAAAATGCAAGCAGCTCTCTTTTATGAGCTCACTTCCTGGTGAAGAAGCCCAGGCCAGAGGATGAGAGGAAACAAGCTGATAAACAACTGCTGGGTGCACCATCATATCCCCTTCCAAGACCATTATTTCATGTGCTCTGCCAAACAATCTCCTCAGGTTGGTAAGAAAGGTAGTACCCCTGGTTTACAAATGAGCAAATATGGAATCTAGAAAAATGGTACTGATGAACCTATTTGCAGGAAAAGAATGGGGATGCAGATGTAGAGAGTGGACTTGTGGACACAGTGGGGGAAGGAGAGCAGGATGAATGGAGAAAGTAGCACTGACATATATACACTATCATGTGTAAAGTAGATAATTAGTGGGAAGCTATTGTAGCCCAGCCTGGTCCTCTGTGATGACCCAGAAGGGTGAGATGTGGGAAGGGGAGGAAGGCTCCAGAGGGAGGGGATATATGTATAATTACTGCTGGTTTGCATTTTGTATGTCAGAAACCAACATTGTAAAGCAATTTTTCTCCAATTAAAAATAAATTTAAAAAAGAAAGCTAAGGAACTTGCCCAAATTTACACAGTAATTCAAATAGCAGCACCATCATTTCTCACCTCTCACTTCACCTTCCCCATATTCTTCCTCATCACACCAAGTGTTTTGATGAAAACCCTCCATGGTTTCCCACCCACAATGGCAAATCTGTTTAAGGATGATGAAAAAAATCAGACAGGAAGGACAAGCAAGGCAAGAGGAAGGTGACTTTCTCTACCCAGCATGTCACCATCAAGACCAGGGCATTAGCTATTTCAAGTTTGTAGTCAGAACTAACCCCATATGTCCACCATGAATGTTTATCATCTTGAGATCAAGTCTCAGTACAAAATCCAGTAGAAGGGCAGAGAGTATAAGGCAGAGAAAGGGACTAAATTGGTGAGTGGTACCTAGACTATACTAAAATAGGAGGAGGGCTTCTGATGTAAGGTAATCACCATCTGTGCCAAGTCAGGCTGTTTAAAAAACTATAAGACTACCAACCACTGTTACCATCATTTCATTTTAAAGATGCCATTTTGAAGCCAAGAGATAGGAAGGTGGAATCACAAAATTCAGTTTAAATATGTTTAGCTTTAGAAAAACTCATTGGCTTTCAGAATTTAAATACTTTCAACTTCAGGGAAAACTCATTCTCCTTATCTCATTTAGAACTAGGATGTCCAACCATGCTAGTTAACTTGGGACTAAGGGATGTGGGATTGTCAGGGATGAAACTATAAATAACAAAGTCCCAAAATGGATGAGTTAGTCACTCTATCTAGGACTAGAAGTGTGGTGAGCCAGCACAATCCATGGACAGCAGGTTGAGAATCACTGCCACAGATAATTTTCTCTTGCTCTCTCTCTAGGACTCAAACAATATGAAGTGAAAAGCGACCATGGAATTAAATAATGGAGAGATGAAATCTTTATATCCTGAAGGTAAAATCTTTCTGAATCATAGGCTTGACCTCATGCAGTCAAGAAAGGGAGGTCAGAGATCCCATTGCTCAATATTTTCTGAGCACAAAATAAGCTCCAGTCCAGCTTCTCCTATGGCAATCAGCCATGTGGGGTCTGCATGTACACTGTTCTACCTTCACACAGAGAAATGCATTCAACCAAGTGCTTTGAGTTACTGCACCAGCTGTCATGAAGTAACCTCCCTTCATGATAGCCCTCCAAAGCAATCAAGTTCATTCCCAGGAGCTAGCCAATCTCTTTTACATTCACATAAATAAAAGTCACACACAATGCTATACTTCACTTTACTTCTCTTGTATATTTCATGTAGCAATCACTTTGTTTCCCTGTCCTGGAAGGCCTCACCACACAGCCACACTGGATTTCAGAAACCAAGAACTCACCCTGGTGCTCCTGCTAAATGGTCCAGTAACCAGGTATTGCTAGGTTGGCTACTGCCACTCTCTCTTTGTTTATCACATGGTCTCTCCCCCTTCGTTGCTCTATCTCCTCAGTGGATTACATGCCTGTTTCTGAGAGTGGCTGTATGAGATGCAGTGAATGTGGCTAGAAAGTTATAATGACCAGGGTGGAAGCATGAAGGCTGCCCTAAATTTATTGTCCTTACTAGAGACTAGTAGTAAGGATACAGTGGTCATTCTAACATAGACTCATGGATAGAGGTCATTTCAACCTATAAGATGCAGGAAACCCTCCTAAGCCATACACATCAAATGATTATCTACACTGCTTTTAAAGAACTCTAGAGGAAAGAGGACTCAACAGTTTTTCTCAGTAGCTTGATGACTCTCACTGTCAATAAATAATTTATGTCTCATTTTAAACTTTTTCCTGATACAGTTCAGTTCAGTTCAGTCGCTCAGTCGTGTCCGACTCTTTATGACCCCATGAACCGCAGCACTCCAGGCCTCCCTGTCCATCACCAACTACCAACTTAAGGTCAATTCCTTTGGTCAGGTCCTCAGAGGAAATGGAGGACAAATTGGCCACTGTCATCCTGACAAGAGCCCTTCATCAACACAAATTAACTCAGATTGCTGGTATCTTGTGCTCAGTTGCTCAGTTGTGTCAAACTCTTGTGACCCCATGGATCGTAGACCACCAGGCTTTGCTATGCATGGGATTCTCCAGGCAAGAACACTAGAGTGGGTTGCCATGCCCACCTCCAGGGAATCTTCCCTACCCAGGGATTGAACCTGTGTCTCTTGCATCTCCTGCATTGGCAGGAGGATTCTTTACCATCTGAGCCACAGGAGAAGCCCTGCTGGTACCTTACCTTTGGACTTTTCCCTCCCCAAATGAGCACTCTACCT